AGCCACCAGGTTCGGGACTTGAACCATGGTTGACCACGTGGGAGTGTCCAGCGCCTTAACCACCAAGCCACCTGCTGGACCCCATTAGTGCTTTTTTAATTTGTTGAACTCCCTGAATTATTTTACAAGTCATCGTTTCTAAGGGCATTCTCTTTCTTTGTAATTTGCCAAAGGGCACATGTACTTGCCAGATAGAGGGAGAAAGAGTGGGAAAAAGCACCCCCCATGGGGGATGGTCTCTCCTACATCTCTCCTTCCTCTTGGGACTCTAGGCATGCACACACGTGTGCCCAGTGTGCTTTTTAAAACACCGGTGCCAAGACTTGAGCTACACAGTTGGCATATGGGATCATTTCCCTTAACGACTAGGCCACAGGTCTGACCCTAGGGCTCTTTCTTTTTTTAAACAAGTTTTTTTCTAGAAACAAGCACATTGTCTCTATTTTCTCTCCTCTCAAAAGAACGGAAATGAATTTGTTTCTCTCCTATGGTCTTTTATTAGACCATGGACATTAAATTAATTTTTCCTTTTCCTAACATTTAATGGATTCGTTTTATTATTTAGTTTTTTATCTTGACATGCTCAACTGGAAATTGTTAAATGAAAAACATACACTTAGTTTATGAGGACAGACTGTTTGGAAGCAAATTAAAATAATGTACTTTAGGAATTAAATAGAGTTGTTGAATGCAGAAGTCGCATTTTTCATTTAAGCTTTTGGTGGTAGAATAATTCACTCATAGGAAATAGACCTAAAGAAGAAATCTATGATTTTTGATCATCGAGTTAATGTGGTTCAAACAGTTCATTTGTCTAGTGAGAGACTAAACAGGTTTTTTTGTCAATACCAGTGTAATCTAATCTCTTCAGGAAGAAAAATTCTCTCCAGAGGGAAATAGTGGTTACATTTTATATTTTGAAGTCATTGGTTTTATTCATTTAGGCAAAATATCTAATTTGATAAAGATATGAACGAAGCTTTGTGGTTGTTACCAATTTATTTCAGACAGTTCAAAAGTGTTCTGTTCAGTGATGGGTATTTTTTTTTTTCATATGATCAGTTATTTAATTAGGTTCTTGGCAAAAAAATCTAGAACATCAATTTGTGAGGATAAACTCCATTTGTAAGGGCAAACACGGATTGCAGGTAGCTCTGCAGCTGAGAAACAGCTTTGAATTTTGGTAAAATTTGCGAGTCCACAGCTTTCTGATCAACCTTTCACTGCTCTGGAATCTATTTCTCCTTCTCTGTGTCGAAGATCTCACCTTCCTGGCGTCTGGGCTTCTGCAGTTTCTTTTTCTTGAAGTAAGCATTGGTAGGGTGCTTTGCGATTTTTTTACTTTGCTAATACCAATTTTCGTGGAGGTGGCAATGACAAATTTCTGATGTGTTCTACGCAGTGGAACTTGATTGAGAACCAGCGGTCCAGTTACAAGCAGCAAGCCCCTGCTCAGCTGCTTCAGGAAAACCACTCTCTTGCCTCTGCGGCGTCCAGTGAGGATGATCAGAATGGTCCCAGGAGTGATGCTAGCTCACAGCTTTCTCACACGCTGACTGAAAAGTTTTTTGCCGTGGTTCAACAGCTTTCGAGGCATATCTTCAGTAGGATAATACCTAGGCATTTTGTACAGTTTAACCACCCGGGTACCACCATTTTTGTCTCCACCAACTGATTTTTGTGACAGTCACAAGAACCTTCTCCTTTTTCTTTTCGATCCTGTCTTTAGTGGCTGAGTATTTCTTCTTGAACATGGCCTTCCTGGAATACATGGCAGACTGGGAGTGTCTGCTGGTGCCCTGGACCAGAACGGGGTTTCAGCGTTTTGGCTGCAATGGAACTTCCCCTTGTTGGGCTCTTTAGCCTTGGGGTCACCCTTTTTAACCTTGCCACTGGCATCAGCCTTCTTGGCTTCAGGTTTCTTCTCCTTAGTATCCTGCTTTGTACCTTTTTCACCTGCCATCTTGAATAGTGGGAAAGAGAACTAAACTCCAACGATGGGTATTTTAAAAAGAAAAGTCAGGTTACTAATCAATGAGGTAGTTGCTTTTGTTACTTAAAACTTCATCATGGGGACCAGCAAGTGGCGTAGTGGTTAAGGCATTGGACACTCCCGCATGGCTGACCATGGTTCAAGTCCTGGACTTGGTGGCTTGCTTTCTCATTTGCATTCTCTCTCTCTCTCCATTTCTCCGGTCAAATTAAAATAAATGAATGAATAAGTAAAATTAAATAAACAATTATTTTAAAAAAACTTCATCATGTTCCTCTTTTTCCCTTTACATCATTTAAGTTAGCTAGAGATTAACTTATTTAGAGAGAAGGTATGATTCAAGATGTGGTATAAAACAAGTTAAAGATAATTCCAGCAACTGAGATGGCAAGGTTCTTATAAGACTTAAATTGAATCTTCAGTGCAATCCTTGATTTTCTGTAAATATTAAGAAAAAAATGGCTAAGAATGTGAAGAGAATATATTTTTAAGTTCACCCTTCAAGAAAGGTTTGGAATAAAGAGACAAGATTCAAAACTAAGAAATGTCTTATAGTCTCAGAAATGCTTAGCTGTGCTTGTATAGGAAATGAGGTGAGAAAGCCTAGTTAAAACATGAACCTTTGAAATTTTTTGCTTACAACTGGAATGCTTTCCTGGTAAAACAGAGTCATAAAATGAGGGCTTTAGGAGCAACATCTGGGTGTGACTCGTAGCATGAAAATACGATGAGAGAAGCATTCTTATCATCTATGTTTAGATTTCTCCAATAGGCAGTATTTGTGTGTGTGTGTGTGTGTGTGTCATTTTTAGTATAATGTGTTTGCATAATAGAATACATATATAACTTAAGAATCATGTGAATGGGAAAAACGGTTGGCGTAATGGCTATGTCGCTGGGCTCCCATGTAGTCGACCACTGTTCGAGTCCCCGACCCAGTGGCTTAAACTCAATGCCGGGTGCATGTGCATGTGTGCCCAAGATCCTAAGAGGATAATGGAGGAGAAGGGTTTGCAACATGGCCATCCCCCCTGGGGGATCATTTCTCTCTCTGTCTCTCTGTCTCTCTCTGTCTTTCTGGCAAGCGTACATGTCCTATAGCAAAAAACCTCTCCAAAAAATCAATTTTTGTAATCAATTTTGTAATCAGTTTCTGCCATTTAGACTTGAGTGAAAAAAAAATTCTGTTTTTTCTATAATTATTTTGTCTTACTAATTAAAATGAAATGGGGAGACTAGCATATGGCTGGTATATAGTTATGTTGCTGGACTCCCACATGGCCAACCGCAGTTTGAGTCCTGTACCCTTTGGCTTGAAAATTATGCCTGGTAAGGATGTGTATGCCTGCAAGTGTGCCCAAGAGCCCAGAAGAGAATGGAGAAGAAGGCATTGTGAAATGGCCATCTTCCCAGGGAGTGATTTCTCACTTTCCCTCTCACTGTTTCTGACTCTCTTTCTCTTTCTCTTTCTTTTCTCTCTCTCTCCCCCTCTCTCTGGTGAGTGTATGTGCCCTAAAGCAAAAACCTCTTTGAAAAAAATATGGAATAGAGTAGAAGAAAATTATCAGTATTATTATAATGTTACATAGAAAAGTTATTTTTATAAGATGATGTTTGATCCTGGATATAAAGCTTATGTATATAAAGTTTATAAGAAAATAAACTTGTATTGGTATTTCTGTGGAAATGTAAAAGGTTTAGAATCAGCATCTGATTGGTTTTTACATTTTAAAACATGAAATTGAATCTAGCTGCTTTTATAGGGGTGTATAAGGAAGCATTTGGGTAGGGGTGTGGATTTCAAAGACTATTCAACAAATGTTTATTAAGAACTTATCTTTTCAAAAATATTATATATATAAGTGTAAGTGTGTGCACCCGCACACACACACACACACACACACACACACAGAATACACATTTCCTGCCCTTCAAGAGCTTAATAGTTAGTTGTATAGACAAGGTATACATTCATGTTAAATCAGATGATTACAAAGCTAACTAACAATGCAATAAATGACCCAAAGCAGTATATAATTAA